ATGTGAGTTCTCCCATCATGCTCATTTCAAATTCACCTTGCATAATTTTAGGAAATTCTTGACAAAGAATTTCATTAGTAGCACCAAATATAATATCATCAACATAAATTTGCACTATGAGAATGTCCTTACCTTTTGTTTTAATAAAAAGTGTAGTGTCAACCTTCCCTCTATTAAAACCATTTTCAATCAAAAAAATTGACAATCTTTCATACCAAGCTCTAGGAGCTTGTTTTAAACCATATAATGCTTTTGTCAATTTATAAACATGATTTGGAAATTTTAGATTTTCAAAACCGAGAGGTTGCTCTACATACACTTCTTCATTTATAAAACCATTAAGAAATGCACTCTTGACATCCATTTGAAAAAGCTTGAAATTTTTAAAATATGCAAATGCAAGCAACATCCTTATGGCTTCTAACCTTGCTACCGGGGCATAGGTTTCATCATAATCTATTCCTTCATCTTGCCTATACCCTTGAACTACCAATCTAGCTTTGTTTTTAATGATATTCCCATTCCCATCCATTTTATTCCTAAAGACCCATTTGGTGCCTATGGTGGGATGGTAACTAGGCCTAGGTACAAGATTCCATACATGGCTTCTTTCAAATTGGTTCAATTCCTCTTGCATGGCCAAAATCCAATGATCATCTCCTAATGCTTCATCTATATTTTGGGTTCAATATGGGATAGAAAAGCAACATAATTACACACATTAAAAGAAGATCTAGTTTTTACCCCTTGAGTTGGATTACCAATGATTTCACTATCTTTGACATACCTTCTTTCTCTAGGATGATTTGGCTCTTTCTCTATGTGTTGTGGCTCCTCTAGAAACTCATCTTCTTTCTTTTGATTTTTCTCCTCAATGTCATGAGGTGCATCATTGATCCATTCTTGAAGTATACCTACATCATCATCATCAAGAAGCACCTTTCTCGAAGGTGGGTTAGATTCATCAAAAATAACATGTATAGACTCTTCCACCACTAATGTTCTTTTATTGAAAGCTCTATAAGCTTTTGAATTCAAAGAATATCCTAGGAAAATTCCTTCATCACTTTTTGCATCAAATTTTTGAAGATCATCTTTTCCATTGTTCAAAATAAAACATTTGCAACCAAAAGGATGAAAATAACTTATGTTAGGCCTTTTTCCTTTAAAAAGTTCATAGGGGGTTTTCTTCAAAATTAGCCTAATCATAGCTAGCCCAGATGAAGAAGGCTCTAAAGGCCCTAGCTATGGGCAAAGCAGTGACCAGACGGGGAAGGTTTTGGAACCCACTAGGCAGGGCACTCATTGAGAGTGCTTAGACTCTTTCAAACCCAAGGCTTAGCAAGGAGCTTGGAATAAGCTTGATTCTACAAAGGCCTTAGCTGACTTAAAAAGTGTCTAGAGGCCATGGAAGGCTCTAAAAGGCCTATAAAGGCAACACACTTAGATCAATAAAGGCTATATGTGCTAAGGAGGCCTAGGTATAAATAAAGGCTTCCCCTTTATTCATAGTTAACAAGAGAACCAACAAGAGAAAAATAAGAGGAACCAAGGCATAGACTTAGCCATATTAAAGACTTGAGGATAGAGATAAGAGTCATTGTAAGGTCATTGAGCAATTGTACATAGCATCAAGTAAATAAAAATTACAAATGCTTTAACTCTTCTTCCTAGCTTTCTCTTAAGCTCCTTCGGAGCCAGCAGAATGCACGTCACAAGTGTTTAGCACAGAGTTAGAAAAAAGGCTAACTTAGGCACATAGATGGTAGTTTCTAGCCTAAGGTCACTGGGTACTAGGCTTAAGCCCCTAGCCTATGATAATTGGTATCAAACCAAGTTTCAATGGAGAGGGATTAGAACCTTCATTATGTGCAGTGTTGATGTTAGTTTGAGTTGTGTGGGCAGCTTGCATGCTAGTGTGCTGCTTGTGATGATAGCTTGCATGTGGCATTGCATAGTGTGGGTATTGTTGGTTACTAGTGCTGAGAGTAAGGCGTAATGATGCTTGAGTGCTTATAAGGATGTGTGGGAGATCCTTAGTTTAAGATTCACATTTATGGTTAGGTTACGGGTGATGTGCATGATGGCTACTCACCTATGTGTAAGGGAGGAAGGCTAGTTCGAAAGGGTGGTTATCATCATGAAAATTAGTTTGAGGACACCAAGGATCATATATAAGTGCTAGACTCTATGTCAGAAGAGTTCTTAAAAGGGTAAAAGGCATGGGTAAAAGTCGAGTAAAGTGATAGTGTACAAGACTTGAAACAGGAGTATTACCATTGCTAAGTCGATGGTTAAGGCTAAGTGCACTAAGTCTCCATAACCCAAGGGTAACAACTGAACCTAGGGTAAGGGCTTGAGTGAGAGAGATAAGAGTAGCAATTCTTTAGAGGAAGAGGAGGCCAATAAAGAGATACAACATTGAAAGGCATGGAACAAGGGTTTGATTTAGGACAAGTATGATGACTATGTCTTTTAACTACTTCTTATGCTTAAGACTACATGAGGCTAGGGAACACCCATAGCAGAAGAAGCTTGGAGCCATTGCGAAGATTTAAGAGAGTTTAATAGTAAAACTAGCGAGGGTGGTTAAGCCAAGAAGAGGGGATTTCTTAGGCTATTGATGAGGGCAAGATGAGTTAGCTGTAAAAAGCCACTAGCCTTGTAGATGAAGGGTTTGTCAAAGAAAGGGTAATGGCCTAGATGTGAGTGCTGCATGCTTTGCACCTATGTGCACTGTACACCTTAAAGTGCCTATTAAGTGTGGGAAAAACGTAAGGAATGCATGGTGTAGAGGAGAGGGTAATGGCATATTGGACATAGAGGTGTTGAACACTTCGACAAGCCAGGATTCATGGAAGCCTATGTGACGTGAGTGCTGCATGCCTTGAAAGGCCCATTATGCATGGGGAAAAGGTAATGGCACATTGCACTACATGCTTTGAAAAGCATGGTTTTGTGGGAACATCATTAAGATCATCATTAGGATCATGACCGAAGTAAGGGATGACTATGAAGGTGTACTGAGAACTATCATGTACTAAAAACCATCATGTGCTAAAGACTATTGGGACAAGATGGGACATCAATCCAGTATGCACATGTAGTGAAGAAATTACATCTCCTAGCAATAGGGGTGTTGCTAGAACAAGTGAGGGACAATGTCATGATCCATGCACAAGTCCTAAGTTTAAAGGATTATGAGACATAGCTTGTTTAAGTTGGTGTAACCGAAGGACCAATAAGGATCGAGACTAAGGTCCTAAAGGCACATATGAGGCCTGAGTGTGCAAACTAGGGCCTAGGCTAAGGTTCAAGAGCATGGCAAGGTAGGCAACCTAGTGTCAAGAATGGGGATGGCTCGTTAGAAAGATGGCTCTAGATTAGCCAAGAGATAGGCTAGGTGTATTGGCATTAAAGAGTTTGGAGAAGCTTGGAGGCTAGCCTAGTGTGCAAGCACTAAAGGTTCTAGAATGGCCTGGAACAGGAACTATAGTAGGTATTGTAGTGCCCAGATGAGAAAAGCTTAGGAGCACCCTAGTTATAGGCAGAGTAGTGACTAGACGAGGAAGGTTCTGGAACTCATTAGGCATGGGCACTTAGCAAGAGTGCCCAGACTCTTCTAGACTTGAGGCTTAGAGGGAAGCCTAGAAGAAGCTGGATTCTACAAAGGCCTTAGCCAAACTAGGATGTGTTTAGAGGCCATGGAAGGGTCTAAAAGGCTTACAAGAGCCACACACTTAGATAAATAAAAACCATATGTGGTGGAAAGGCTCAGGTATAAATAGAGGCTTCCCTCTCATTTGTAATCATAGGAGAAGCAACAAGAGAATAGTAAGAAGAACAAAGTCATAGACTTTGTCATATTAGAGACTTGGGGATAGACATAAGAATCAATGTAAAAGCAATTGTACATAGCATCAAGTAAATAGAAATACAATTGCTTTAAGTCTCTTTTCTAGCTTTCTTCCAAGCTCTTGAAGAGCCAACGGAGTCCATAGCACAAGCGTTTAGCATAAAGTCAGAAAAAAGGCTATCTTAGGCACATGCATAGTAGTTTCTAGCCTAAGTTCAAATGGGTGCTAGGCTTAAACCCCCAGCCTATGACACCTACTGTTGATGCTACTTCAGACCCCTGACCTCTGATCAAGTCCTTGAACCAAGCAATGGCTCCCTAAGATGGTGCAAGCAAAAGCTACAATCATAGGCTTGGTCTAGCCAAGTCTTTTAGGCATTTGGTAGTCTCATGGCCCTTTCTTATTGACCACAAAAATGCCTTTGTCTAGCCAAGCTCATACATGTGCCATGGGTCGGGTCTTAAGCCTAAGGGTTGAAAAGTCCCATGTGAACAGCACTTGCACATAGGTTAGTCAATCCTTAGAGATGAGGGAAGCCTATCGATAGTGCGTCCAGCACAAGCTTCAAAAGGGAATCGAGTTAAAATTCCTAAACTAGGACATGACGATTGATGGCAACATTAGGCAGTTTGAAGACATCAGTAGGGGCCTTGGGAAAAGTTATCTTTTTTGTTTAACAACTTGCCCACCCTAGAAATGGTTTAATTAGAGGTAGGGTTTGGTGGCTAGAAAAAGCAGTGCATGTTGCATGGTGTTCAGTGTGCCCTCAATAGGTTTTGAAAATTTGGAGGACTGAGTGCTATTTGTACTCGACGATACTCATAACCGCATCAGGTCTCTAAAGTGAATAGCTTATTGTCAATGGAATAGTATTGGCAAGGAAAGTCAGTAAAATGGATCTGTAACCTTGACAAAAGATTAGCTCTGAGGGCTAGGCATGGAGGTCTCAGTCCCGAACCCATTTGGTATTGGTGCACTGCTTGAACTGCTTCCATGGTAAGAGTGGGTCACTACGTGCCAGTCGGGGGATGGTTGGGAATGGCACCTTTGAGGGCATTTTTTAAGTGACAAATAGTTGACTTAAAACTGGTACAGACAAGGGGAATTTGACTATTTAATTAAAACAAATCATTGCGATGGTCCCTACGGATGCTCACGCAATGTGATTTCTACCCAGTGCTCTGAATGTCAAAGTGAAGAAATTCAACCATGCATAGGTAAATGGCAGGAGTAATTATGACTCCTTAAAAGTAGCCAAATGCCTCATCAACTAATTAGTGATGCACATTAATGGATTAATGAGATTCCCACTATCCCTGTCTACTATCTAGGGAAACCATAGCCAATGGAATAGGCTTGGTAGAATCAACAGGGAAATAAGACCTTGTTAAGCTTGACTCTAGTCCAACTTTGTGAATGACTTGAGAGGTGTAGGACAAGTGGGAGCCCTTGAGCAAAATTGAAATACCACTACTTTTAACGTTATTTTACCTATTTAATGAATCAGAGGCAAGGCATGACCCCTTCTTTTGGACCTAAGGCTAGCCTTGCTTGATTGATCAGGGTAGAAGACAATGTTAGGTGGGTAGATTGGCTGGGGTAGCACATCTATTAAAAGATAATGCAAATGTCCTAAAATGAACTTAATGAGAATAGAAATCTCATGTGGAACAAAAGGGTAAAAGCTTGTTTAATTCCAATTTTCAGTATGAATATGAACTATGAAAACATGGCCTATCAATCATTTGAAATTTGAAGCTAGAGGTGTCAAAAAAGTTAACACAAGGATAACTAGCTTGTGGTAGCCAAGTGTTCATAGCGACATTGCTTTTTGATCCTTCGATGTCTGCTTTTCCTATCATTATAAAGCATAATTCAACAAATGTTGGATTGTTAACACAGTAATAGGGAATGTAAGTTGGGTTTAGACTGTCACGACATAGGTTAGTTTTACCTTACTGATGGCAGTGTCATAATAGTAATTTAACCTAGCATGAGAGAACCATTGATTCACATAATTGGTCATTGCACTCGATTGAAAAGCTAGTGGCATGAAGCTACCAAGCTTTGGATTATGACTAAATGCCTCTAAGTAAGAATCTAGGCTAGAAGCAATTCACATGCCCATCACTCAATTGCCAACCTATAGTAGGGGCCCATGGACTAAAAGAACAAATGTCGTAGGTGCAGCCCTCATGGCAGATAGGCCATACAGGACTCTTGGAGCTCAAATCCCATTGAGCAATGGGTAGAATCCTTTGCAAATGACTTAAATACGTAATGGGTATTGTAAGGGGTAGAGTGGCCTTGCTACCACAATCCACTAAGATTCAACCCTTTGTCACTTCAATTCATTCCTCCCCCTACCACACCCATCAAAGTCCTCTCACTTGATTTTTTTACACAACACCCTTTTAGGGCTGGGGATGAATGGTGTTCTCCATTGGAATTGATTTAGCCAAGTGATGAAATCCCTAGTAGACCCAACAAAGCACTGGCCCAACAGACATAACAGATAAAACTTTCTAGAAGGATTTGGAGACTACTATGGATAGTATAGTTCCCTATACAATTTGAACTCTTGATATATATCTCATGTAATCTCTTTATAATCTTGGACTTTATAATAGCCATTGGATTGAGTCAATCCTAGCCATTGATTCACGGGGCTTCAACTATAAATAGAGGGCTTTTCTACCCTCATTTGATGTATACACCATAACTTCAATAATACAAGTTTTCTCTTTCCTATCTCTATTGTTCTCTTTAGCTTTCCATTAAACACCTTATGTGTAGCCTTGTCTAGCAGCAACTTGGGTGGTTGGCCTTAGAGTATTGAGTGTCTATGCATTAGTTCAATTGAAGGCTGATATAAGACATCGAATGAGTCCATTCTCAAGTCTTGGAGTTGCATGAGTCGAAGCTTAAGTCTTAACCCATGATAGTTGGTATTAAAGCAGGATTTACTTCAAGGTTGTGTTTAGGTCACACTCAAAGTGTTCAAGGAAATGGCATCTCAAAGATATGTTGGTAGCTAACAACTAGAGGTCTAAGAGCCAACCTATGGAAAGGGGAAAAAGGATACCTTAAAATACATGATGTCAACCATGACTGGCCATTTAGCCAAGTTAAAGGTGATAGTGTCAATCTTTAGGGAGAGGTTTGAGGAAACTAAAGAGGAGATAAGGGAAGGATTTCATGGTGCGCTAACAAAACCATCAACATGTTCACCCAAAAGAATGAATCCTTAGAGTTCATGGTTAAGGTGATGTGCAAAGAGATGAATGAGCTCAAAGAGAAGCTCACAACATGCAAGGTAGCCATTGGGAATGGTGTGTTAGCTATAACAACTAAGGCTTAAGTGGTAGTTCCTAAGCCAAATGAGTGTAAGGGAGCTAGGTCCCCAAAAGATGTGGAAAACATTCTATGGGGAATGGAGCAATACTTTCAAGCCATGGGCATTGATGAGCATGCCACTAAGGTAAGTATAGCCTCTATGTATTTGGTTGACATTGCATTGTTGTGGTGGAGATATAGGTGTAATGATGCAAGCTATAGAGATGCTGTTGTCTAGACTTGGGAGGAGTTCAAGGCAAAATTTAAGTAGTAGTTCTACCCTGAGTATGCTAATGATGAGTCAAGGGTGAAAATTCATAAGCTTAGTAAAAAAAGCAAGGTATGGGAGTATGTTTGAGAGTTTTTAGAACTAATGCTTCAAATTTCAAACCTTGGAGAAAAGGAAGGTCTTTTTTGTTTCATGGATGGACTCAAATCGTGGGCCAAGAATGAGTTACAATGAAAGGGTGTCGAAGATCTGGCCAAAGCCATGATAGCTACTAAATCCTTGGTAGAGATTTGGCCATAAAAGAAGTTTGAGTCATTCAAGCCAAAATGTGATGGCAAAGACTGATAGTCCAAGGAGGGAGACAAAGACCAATAGTCCAAGGATGGGGACAAAGGTCGATAGACCAAGAATGGTCAAGGCAAGCCACTAAATAAAAAGTGGAAGCCAAGGCAGTGGAACAACAAGGATCGTGAGCCATTGGCTTCTTACATTTGTGAAGGTCCACACTTGTTGAGAGTTACCTTAAGAAAACCAAGCTATCTACCATCAACAAGGAGGATGGTGATAAGTTAGGGAAGGAAATGATGAAGCTTGGCCTGATAGTGATAAATTCAATCTAGGCTAAAGGGTGCCGCAAGTAGAAAGGATTGATGTTTATAGACATGATAATTGAGGGCAAGAAATTGAATGCATTTATGGACACAAGAGTATCTCACTTGTTCATATCTGGAGATACAACCCAAAAGTTAAACCTAAAGGTACAAAAAAGGGCTATTATGACAAAACAGTTAACTCTAAAGAGATCCAACAATTGATATAGCACATGGAGTAGAGCTATAACTTGGGGAGTGGAAAAGGAAGGAATCAATCGAGGTAATTCCTTTAGATGATTATGATCTTGTTGTTGGTTTAGAATTCCTTGACCATATTAGTGCACTTGTGGTGTCTTTTGCCATTTTTATTTACGTATTGGATAGTTGATACCCATGTATCACGTCGATGAGACAAGAATCGAGGTCAAAGACTAAGATGTTGTTTGCCATACAATTGCCTAGAGGAGTAAGTAAAAAAAAAAAAAGACACTTTCCTTATAGCCTTGAAGATGGAAAAGTCCAAGCAGAACGGTGTTGACTACCCCTTGAAAGTACTAGAGGTGCTAGAGTCATTCAAAACATGATGCCCATTAAATTGCCCAAGAGGCTATGACCCAAGAGAAAGGTGGATCATGCAATTGAGCCAATGGAATGCATGGCACAAGCATTCAACATAGAGTTGGAAAAGAGCCTAACTTAGGCACATGGATGGTTGTTTCTACCCTAAGGTCTCATGGGTGCTAGGCTTAAGGCCCTATAAAATGACACCTACTGCTAATACTACCTCATACCTTAAACCAAGTCTCTAAATCAAGCAATAGCTCCCTAGGTTGGTACAAGTAGAAGTTGTGGTCGCAGGTTTGGTCTGGCCAAGTCCCTTAAGTATTTGGTAGTCTCGCGGTCCCTTATCATGAATTAGAAAAATGCCTTGGCCTGGCCAAAACCATGTATATAGTTGATGCTACCTAAGACCCCGGGAACAAGTTTTTGAATCGAGCAATGGCACCCTAGGGTGGTGATAGTAGAATTTTTGTGTGTAACCCCAAGTAGATGAAGCATTGACGTTGTCATGCCATTGTTGGCTATTGGATGGTAGGGGCAATCTCATGGCCCTTGCTTGTGTTTTTCCCATGCCAAGCAATTGTGGCAAGGCCTCATACTTCATTTCTTATACTCACTCATTAAGTAATTGAATGGGTGGGTCGTGCATCAGTGTGCATGGATGCTGCTACTTGTATGCAATGGACATATGAGTGGTGCTATGGTTGTGCATGTTGGCAGGCTCCATGCTTGGTGCATCGAACTATTGACCTATCATCCTCTTCAATCTCCCCATCCATATGGTCATCATACTGTGAGGGCACAATCAGGATCTTATGTTTCATGCCTAAACTGATGGAAACTAGATGTCTTGCCATCCCTCATCCATTTTATGTCCTTAGAGGCTATGGGTTGAACCTCATTTGTGCCCTGTGTCCCAAGAGTGACACCCAAACCTCCATGGCAACCTTGGTGCACTAGTGCTCGATCATGCTCTCAAATGCAAAATGTTTTATGGGCACTAGCTTTTGACCCTTATTTGTTTGATGCTATGCATTTTATGTGCTCGACATGCATGACATTTATGCTTTGTGTTGGCCATATATGCCACTCAATTGATGTGTTGAGGTCCATGTAGTGCCAACATCCCGAAAGAAAGTTACCTGGTTGATCCTACTAGTAGTCATATGCTTGTCTTAAAGATTAAGTCATGCATGTGTAAGAATGAAGTAATTCACACTATGAAATTGTGAATGGCTCATTAAATGGCAACCACATCCAAGGTAGCAGGCATGCAAATTACCTAATCCTAGCATGGGGAGTTAGTGACAATAAATAACAATATTGGGCTCTACGAGTTTGGTAATTGGAATGAGTACTATCTAAATCCCTTAACAAGAATCCATTAGAGGGCAAGTCTGGTGCCAACAATTATGGTAATTTCAACTCCAATAGCGTATATTTAAGTTGTTGCAATTTAAAAGTTCGTAGTTGGAACTAGAGTTAGGTCATTTGATCCACCTCACTATAGGCACCGGTTTACTTGTCCCTACTACCGATGATGCACTCCTAGCCTTAAGTCGCTGGGTCATTCCTTCAATGCTGTTACTTTGAAGAAATTGGAGTGCCCAATGCAAGCCTATACTTGTATACATTAGCATGGGATAACATCATAGGATTTTGGTCCTATCATGTTGGCTTTTAGGATTGGAGTAATGATTAATAAGACAGTCAGGGACATTCGTATTTCATAGTCAGAGGTGAAATTATTGGATTTATGAAACATGAACAACTGCGAAAGCATTTGCCAAGGATGTTTTCATTAATCAAGAATGAAAGTTGAGGGCTCAAAGATGATCAAATACCGTCCTAGTCTCAACCATAAACGATGCCTACCAGGGATTGATGGATGTTTCTTTTAGGATTTTGCTAGCACCTTATGAGAAATCAAAGTCTTTAGATTTTGGCACAAGTATGGTCGTAAGGCTGAAACTTAAAGGAATTGATGGAAGGGCACCAATAGGGGTGGAGCCTGCAACTTAATTTGTTTCAACATGGGGAAACTTACTAATTCTAGACATAGTAAGAATTGAAAGACTGAGAGCTCTTTCTTGATTCTATGGGTGGTGGTGCATGGCTGTTCTTAGTTGATAGAGCGATTTGTCTGGATAATTCCTTAATGAACAAGAACTCAACCTACTAATTAGCTATGCAGAGGTGATCCTTCGTGGCTAGCTTCTTAAGGGGACTATGGCCATTTAGGCCAAGGAAGTTTGAGGCAATAACAAGTCTATGATGCCTTTAGATGTTCTGGGCCTCACGTGCACTACATTGATGTATTCAATAAGTTTATAGCCTTAGTCGATAGGCCTAGTTAATCTTTGAAATTTCATCATGATGGGGATAGATCATTGTAATTATTGGTCTTCAACGAGGAATTCCTAATAAGTGCAAGTCATCAGCTCACATTGACTACATCCCTACCCTTTGTACATACTACTATCACTCATTCTGATTGAATGGTCTAGTGAAGTGTTCAG